ACAATGTTGTAACTCTAAGGAAGTCATACGGAGAGAAAGCAGCTCTTATGGTGTCTGCTGGGCTGGCCTGGATCTATAGAGGGAGGGTGGGGCAGGGTGGATGTCTGACCTCTCACTGCGCTTTCTCTGGTTGATTCTAGCAACTGGCCCCTCCCTCGTTTGTTGACTCGAAACTGGGCTTCTGTTTCTGCGTATCTTGCCTCACTACTTGCCAATGGAATCCATGAGGCTGCCAGCCACTCACTGTCCATATCACATGGTTTATATTTCCCCATTTTTACCAGCCATGTAGGACTCTTAGCAGGAAAAGCAGAGACCGCGTCATTCAGTCTCCGATGGGAATAAGCCTCAGTTTCCCCAGAAGTGTGTCTATTGGTGTGGATCTGAGTCCAGGGTCACCCACTGAGATGGTGATAGAAATAGAGACAGTTTCTTAAGGAAAGTAGAAAGGTACTCCTGAGACTGGGGCAAGGCCATGGTTCAGAAATCTCCTTGGACCAGGTCATGACCCTTTTAGGTTTCTAAGTAGCACCTACTTTCTGCATTTTTGAGACATGCTGTTTGTTACACATAGACCTGATGGAAAAGGGATCTAGTCTTTCTGCAACAGGCTTGTCCTAGTTATGTTTTTTATTGCTGTGATTAAATACCATGACCAGAAATGTCACGGGGTTTATTTCAGTTTATAGCTCCACAACACAGTCCATTATCAAAGGAAGTCAGGACAGAAACCTAGGAGACATAAACTGAAGCCATGGAGGAACACTGATCTCTGACTTCCCAATGGCTTGCTCAGCCTGCTTTCTTTTTTTAAAATTATTTATTATATGTGTCTTTTGCATCATGTATCTTGATCCCATTCATCTCCCCATTCCTTTACAACCATCCTCTGCCACTGCACCCCCCAAATAAAACAAAATTTAAGAAAAAAAGTAAAAAAAAGAAAAGGTGAAAACAAACAATCTCATCCTGGAAGCTGCTGTATGACACAGTGAGTCATGCCATGAATCCCTTTGCCCATGTATCTTTACTGGCAAGAGTTGATTGCAAAGAGTCATTGGTCTAGTTCAGGCCTCTGCTTTCTACTATCCTGTCAATGCTGGCTCTACACTAGGGCTCCTCCTGGATACCCTGCTGTTGCCCTGTCTTGTGGAGATCCTGCAGCTTTGGGTAAGATCCCTTCAATTGTTCCAACAGAGCATAGACGGGGTGATTGATGGGCTGGCCAAGTCATATCCTTGGGTCTTGGCCTAGGCAGCTGTCAGGCTGGTCTGTCGGATGTGAAATGGTGGCAACTCTGCCATGCTTACAACTTTAGGGCTGGCTCACCCCCACCTGCCCTAACAGGGTTGGCTCTTTTGCGCTGCCCCGGCAAGGCGCAGGGTCTGCTCTCCCAAGTGTCACAGCTGGCTGGGGGTCAGGGATAGCTCTCCTTCGAAGGGAGGGCATCTCTCCTTAGCCCATGCTGCCATGTGGGAGACGAGGGGTGCAGCTATGTCTCCCTCTCTCATCTCTTCAGATTTGCCTCTGTCTTCAGGACCTGGACCATTCTGTCTGTCTGTCTCTCTCTTCCATAGACTACCATACCTCTGCTCATACTAATGGTGTCTGGCTGGTACAGCAGTGGGCCAGTGTTTCCTTCTTGGAGCCTACAGTGACTATAGTCCCAAGCTTCCGAGTATATCTCCTTATCTCACTCAAGTTGTCCTGGTGGTGTGCTGGGCCATTCTGTCACATCACAAAGAGGTCATTATAGTGGCCAACAGGTGCTGGGCAGGCTCCTGGTTGGTACATATGGCTGCATGGCACAGGGTGGGGGGTTTCCATAGAATCTGCTTGGGGGCCAGGTTTTAGGATGCTCCAAGCCTGTGGTTGTCAGCCTACTTTCTTATACACCCCAGGGAAACTTGCCTAGGGAGGACACTATCCACAATGGCCTAAGCCTTGCCATATCAATCACAAATTAAGAAGATGCCCCGTAGGCTTACCTACAGGCCAATCTTACAGAGGCGTTTTTCTCAGCTGTAGTTCCCTTTTCTCAGATAACATTAGAATGTGCCAGGTTGCCAACAAGCCCAAGCAGGACAGAGAGGAAAGGTTTATTCTGGTTTGCATTACCACAGGAACCAGGAATTAGTATGGACCATTAGCTTAGTCAGCTGCAAATGAGAGAGAGACAGACGGAAACAGAGACAGACAGACAGAGAGAGACAGAATATGTGTCAAAATCTTATTACTGAACAGCTAGAAGATCTGCAACTTCATGTGGATGGTGGGAAAATAATGTAGACCCTATATTGTTTATTCCAATCATCGGCTATGGTTTATAAACCAAAGATATTCTAAAGGTAATCGTTAGCCTCTCACCATTTTATACAGCTATGCCATCTGGTTTGGCCACATCTATGTGCAGCAGAGTTTGGAACACAATGCTACATGTATCTTAGAATTCCTGATGTCTGTGTGCACAGTGTATGTGACAGTTCCAATCTAGTAGAAGGATGGGTGCAGATAATAGTTTAATATACTCCTTTGAAGCAGAGAGCTGGTGAACTAACGACAGAAAAGCAAACTAAGTTATGAAAACACCACAGTGTTCTAGAATCATGGAGTGCTATAGGTGGAAAGGACCTTACCAGATGATGTAATGTTTACCAATGTATGAGGAAATAAGGTCCATAGACATTCTGGAAGGTACTCAAGGTCAGTCAGGAAAATTAGTCACAGACTTGGGCCAAACCCAAAGTCTGTTGATCTGGCCCTGCCAACCTTCATAATGTCTTGTGCCCTGTCATTAACACACTCTTAAACTCTGCATGCAAGAATACTGGGCCAATGTAAAAAGTTGTTGTAAGAGATGTCCATTACTCTTCTCTCCTCCCCTCAACATGAAGCAATGGTTTAACCCACATTGCTTCTCCAGCTCTTGCCTCTGTCTTTCTGAGGGCCTCCCTGCTGTATTGTTCTATCGGTAAAATGGAACCAACCGCTAAAGGGTCTTTTTTGTCTTTCTCTTATCTGGTAAGAAATGCGTGGCTGGTAGAGCCAGCCATTCTGATTCCATTTAAGAGCCCTTGGTCCCTAGTTTGACACATGAACAGTAAAGTGAGGACCAAATAAATACTAGATTAAAGTCCAAATGTCAACCTGCTTAGTAGCATGCATAGAATCAATCCCACTGACAGCTAATCCTTCTCCCTATAAGATACAAAGTACTTACCAAGCTCAAACCCAATCTTCAGCATTTATTATGGGAGGAAAACAGGGGTTGAAGATCACCTGGTCAATAACAGTCTTTGACTGTGCCCAGGCTAAGGACCCTTGATCAGTGAAGTGATGGCTTCAGGATATTTAGCACAATAATGACAGCTGTGTTCTAAACACTGATGAAGGGAAATTGCTAGTGTTTTTTCCCTAATATTATTTTTTAGGAAAGAAAATCTGAACTTGTAACAGAAATAGAAGGTCAACATCTGGAGTTATGTATGGTAGGGCACACACATGAGTTATATTGTGCTAATTTGGTTAAGTCAGAATGTACAGAGAATGGGCCAGGTCCCAGATTGCTGAGGTCTATCTTGAAAACATTAGTGTCTCCACCGAAGTATCATAAATAAGATGCAGGCTGGACTTTGGCCATTTTGGAAATGTTTTATAGGTTGTGAATATGGAAAAAAAGGCTTCTTTGTTTTGAGTTAGGTTAAACATAACCAGACTGATGTTTTGATTCATTTAGCAAAGCCTGATTCCATGTCTCCTTACCTTCTATCCTCAGATAAGCCAAGTTTTCCAATTCCAAGTCCACTGACTTGTTTCTGGGATGGTCTAGCTAATATGGCATCAAAGAATGAAGCCAATGGCTTAAATATGCCCTCCTCCCCAAACATATATGGGGTCTACTAGAAAGTATTCAGGTCATTGAGGTCTCCCTTTCGTGGCTGAGTTAATGATACTCACAAAAGAGTTTGATCTGCTTCTCTTTCAGACATTCAGCACCTCCTGCCTTCTGCTGTGGAATAATGCAACTAAAGACCCTCCTCAAAGGTCAACACCTCAACTTTGGATTTTCACCCCCCAACTATAAGAGATATATTTCCTTTCTTTATTAATTTCTCAGCATGTGATATTCTGTTAGAGCAACACAAAGCCAGGAAAATCTCAAAATGAGAAGATATAGAGAGGTGGTAAAAATACTGTACTTATTATAATGTGTCTTAATATTATTTCAATTTTTATAGCTAAGATACAGTAATGGGTAGGGATGAGTATATAGTTTACCAGGAGGATGCTTGCTTTGCTTGCCTGTGGCCTATACTTGACTCTAGGCACTGCAAGAAAACAAGCAAATGAAACCACTCCCAAAAAACCAGCACTGTGTATAAATAAAACAGATTAGACAGAATAGACACTTAGAAAACATCAATCCGCCGGGCAGTGGTGGCACACGCCTTTAATCCCAGCATTTGGGAGGCAGAGGCAGGCCAATCTCTGTGAGTTCAAGGCCAGGCTGGACCAACAGCCTCCAAAACAATACAGAGAAGCCCTGTCTCATAAAACCAAAAAAAATCCAGAAATTGCATACAATTATATTATCTATACAAGCTTCATATTTATAAATACCTTTTCTAATCATTGAACGTGCTCATTTTCTATTACCAAATGTTATTATTTTTAAAGTACTTATTTCTTTGTTAAAGTGTCTAAATTTGGCTGGGCATAATGGCACATGTCTGTAATCCAACACTTCGGAGACCGAGGCAGCAGGATTGGCAGGTTAGGGCTAGGTCAGGCTGCATAGTGAAACTTTTTGAAGAAAAATGAAGCCTAATTCATAGTTTTCATAAAGTAATGCACAAACATATTTTACTTTATGCACATTTCCCTGGGTGCAGTGAGCTATGGATTCTTAGTGCCTGATACTAAAAAATGTACTATCTTAAGGTCATTCTAGTTGAGAGGAGAGAATAGTAATAAATTTGAAATAATTTTTAAAAACAATCTGAACATAACTGAAGAATTTTATTCCTTTTTTTTCCTCACCAACATCATGGTCTTTCTCACAAGACCTAATGATGCTGAAAAATATTTCTTTTCAGGTTCTTTGAACTTTTTCTTTTTCTTGTTTGTCTTTCTCCAAGTATTTCCTGTTTTAATTGTGGTGACAAGTTTTAGAGCATAATAAACAACCCATCCATTTATTCAAGGAGCATGTATTGAATGTTTGCAGTTTCTCCTGTCAAAAAAAATAAAAAAGCTGGAGTGAAATCCTATCTTTGTGACCCAGGAAATTGTTCACTTAATTGTTTTTAATTACCATACATGACATCACTGTATATCACTATGGCATTTCCAAATAAAGACTCTTTCAGTAGGTTGTCCTTTTCCCCAGTCCCCTCTCGGCACCTCCAGCTCACTTACTTTCATTATGTGGTCTTGTCCACATCATTACAGCGACATTTCCCAGCATAACTAGTGCATCCATTAGTCACAGAAGTGGTGACTTCCAATGATCCTTTCTTTCACTCTTCGCGATTACTCTCTGTTCTTGCTGTTGACATCTGGGTCCACGCTTCTGCTTCACCTGACTGAAAATTAATGATACAACTAGCTAGTGCTATTAAAAAACAAAAAAACAAAGCTGAGATCTCGTTTGCCAGGGATATGAAAGGCTCTATTTCTCTGGTGAAAAGACTCTGTTATTCTCATATTGTTTTTCCCCTCATCCTGTTACTAATTCTTTGTATAACCCCATCCATTTTTTCCACAGAAAAAATCTATTAATAAATCTGCTTCAAGCTATTTGATGATTTGCCAAAACTAAGATCAGCTATGAAAATTTTCAGCTTTTGAACAAAGTCGCGCAAAGAGGTTTATTATAGTAAAGTGACTTTTGCAAGCTTCAAATAGCCTGATAGAAAAATCCCATTTTGTAAAGACTGAATCAGTCACCAATTCATTATCATATCTCAATATCCAAATGCCCTCATTTTGTATTAGTGGGTGTTCCTTACTGTAATAAAATGGATCCCCTCTAGCAAACTGCGTTTTCATTGCCTATGTTGTAAAGTGCTCTTTGAAAGTAAACCTAAAAATGATCACATCCCACAACACATAGTATATGACCTATTAACAAGCAATTACTTACTTTTGTTTGTCAAATAGCCAATTTAAATGTTTTGTCAGATTTCAAGCACAAATTGGGTTCATGTAATCCTTTAATGCCTTTTCCATAAAGTGGGCAGATGACTAAGCTGTGGACATTTGCAAACCCATTTAGCATGGGACATTGCTTTAAACCCAGAATTCCCACATGCACAGACTCTGGCTTTGAATAGCTGAACATTTGTTCTGTTTATGTCATTTTTGTAGTTATTTACTAGGCCATGCTAATGTCATCATAACCACTGGGAGCATGATCCAATCAGCTCACCTGTCACAAATGTTCTAGAAAGAATGTGCAGTATCTGTCGGGACACAATGTCTAGAACTATACTTTCTCACCTGAACTTCTACAGGAACATTTTAAAATAAGTTTGAAATATGGTACTCTGGCCACTGCTGGATTCTTTCAAGGAAAGAGAGACTTAACACTGGTTTGTGGGACATTCCATTTTGATGTTGGATAGTGCAATGTCCCTTTAAGTCTCTTTCCATTGTCTCAGACATGCTCTTCGATATTTGGAGACAACCAGATGAGATGGGGGGGGACTATACTCCTTGCCAATCATTATTTTCATCCAGACATTTCAATATTTGGATCAGCGCTTTGGAAATACTGGCTGAGAAAGATCAAATACCTCGTAACTTTCCAGTCTAATTTACAATGAGTCATAGGCAAAGTGAAAAGCAAGAAAGTATTGTGTTGAACACAACTGGTCATTGTGAAAGCAGCTAGCTGGCCAAGACTAGAAAGATGCAAACGTGGTAAGAGAAGGAGTCTGGGAAACTCAGTAAATATTAACAAGGTAAAGCCAGAATTCTCTGACAACAGTTGCTCATACATGCTTCATACATCTCATGCAGTGGACTGTAAATGCAATGAGTTATTGGTTGGTTGCGCCCAGAAGCTTTGTGCCAATACTGCACCAGTGTCTCCTGCAGGCAGGTGACCACTATAGCATGTAGGTTTTGTAGCTGGGTTGGAGTTTACCTTTCTCTGGCATTATGCAGTGTGCCTTCCAGTCCATGAATACTTGTCAGTGGGGGAGGATTGTTGAGCCACAATAGACCACAGCATCTATCTTTGTTCTGCATGTTCTCTGCTCACGGAATCTGTGGCCGCACTGGTCCACACTTGACATCCTTGGATTCTGTTTGCTCACATTAATCTCAGAGAAAGTACTGCCTGCTGCTGTATGCTAAGTGAGGTGCAATCAAAGCTTGCCTTTTCTGTCTTTTTTCAGTAAGTTTAACGGTATTGAAGATATAGACAGCATTTTGGAAGACGTGGTAGGTTTCGCCATTTTTACCATAGGTGTATTCTTTATACCATAGAGAAAGGAAACCGTTAACCGGTTTGTTGAAATGGTTTAAACATTCAGCTGATTTGGTCTTTTCATTTTTCTTGATTCATTTGATATATATATTTCTCTCCCAAATTCAGTGTGAAGCATTTTCTATTTTGGTTCTTCTTTGTCATTGGTCTTATGATTATATCTTCTAATTAGCAAACAAAATACCCAACCTACTTTTTTTTTTGCAAGTTTTTCTTCCTGCCAATGAAAATTTATCCCTACAAATCACTTGGAAACAAACTTAGTTGTAATTCAGCAGGTTGTTGACATTTTTTCAGAGAATAGCTGGTGCATTTACTGCCATCTGGTGGTGGAATTTGGAAGGAACGAAAAGAACAATTTAGAGCCATTAAAAATAAATAAATAAATAGTAGCAAGGCCCATGGGTAAGGAACTGTAATCCCAGTCCAGGGAGGTTGAGGCATGGGGACTGCAAGTTAAAAGACTACAGGAGCTACAGAGAGAGTTCAAGGCCAGCCTGAGCAAGTTGGCGAGGCTCTTTCTTAAAAAAGTAAAATAAAACAAAACCTTGGGCATAGAGCTTAGTGATAAGGCCCTAGCATGTTTAAGACCCTGGGTCCAATAACCAGTACCATAAATAATGACAATAATAATAATAATGATAATTCACCCTTTCTACTGAATCAGAATATTATGTAACTTAAACTGGGTCTACAGGAAACTTGCATTAGTTTGAATCAAGGGAAAAGAGGTGATTTAAGTTGTATTCCCTTTTAGTCTTAACATCAATGGCCATATGTGACTGTAATTCAAATTTTGTTGCTTATATATAGAGGTAAATATAAGCAACCCTACACTAGGAAGTTTCCAGCTTCAGCTGTCTTAATTTTCATTTGAATTCTTTGTATGTGTAGCCTTTGTTTTGTTCTAGTGAGCTAACCTGCTATGCTTCCCCTTCACCTGCATTTAATACATAGGTCTATGTACTGTGCATCCTGACAAACCTTGACACCCCAGCTGCCACTCATATTTTTGCTTCCTTATCTTAGCTTCTCTTCACTCTTTATTTCCTATGTCCCTGAACATCACCAAGACTCTGCTTCCAAAATTTTCTTCTTCCCACTGAATACCTGACAAGCAGCTTCAGATACAAAGTCTGGGTAATGACAGAGGTGACTTGTCTCTGTTAAATGGACCCTGGCAATTCAAATTCTCTGAAGTCATGAATACATTAATGCTAATAGATTTGACCAGCTAAACCTTACGGAACTGTTAACATTTTAGTCAGGGCACTAAACGCTGGTAGAATTGCTCAGACCTAATTCTGTGTGGAACAATTAGCCTCCACTGAAATTGTATCACATGAGCAACTGTTAGTATTGGTTTTATTTGTGTGTGTGTGTGTGTGTGTGTGTGTGTGTGTGTGTGTATTGAGTGCGGTTGTCTATTGAGGCCAGAGGCATCAGATCCCCATGGAGTTAGAAATGAAGGTAGCAGTTAGATGCCCACTGAGGATGCTGGGAACAGATTTTGGCTCCTCTGCAAGATAAGTATATGCTTTTAATTGCTAAGGCATCTTTATGGCCTCAATATATTATTTCTTTTATTCATTAATTTATTTGATGTTGGGTTCTGGGGATATGACTATAAAAAAGACAAATCAACAACAGTAAGAAGACATCAACTTGAATGTTCAGAAATTTGACAATGATATTTGTAGCTCTACATTAAGGGTTCAACTTTGTCTAACAGCAGGATTGAGATTCTAATTAAAATGTTCTGGGGTAAAAACATAAGCCTGCATTTTCTAAACGTGCTTCAGGTGATCCAGACACAAGTGCTCTGTACACACTAGAAGGAAACTACACGGGAAGAGGATGCTACAAGAGAGGGAGGTTAGTTGAGCATGACAGTGAGGTCACATGCCTGTAATCCCAACACCCAGGAAGCTGAAGCAGGAGGACCACAAGTTTGAAGTCAGCCTGGCTTACATAGTAAGACCCCATCACAAAATAAAACAAACACAACCGAAAGAATGCAGAGCTAATAAAGGGCAAGTACAACCATAAGAGAATGGGAAGAAGGCATTTTTTTTCCAGAAGAACTAAGAGATGCTGGTTAGCAGTGAACAAGATAGGATGAATCCACAAAGAAGTCTAAAATATCAAAAGAACAGTGGAGCACTCCAGGTGGACCAGCTCAGCTCTTCCAAATGATGACCAGCAGTCCAGTGCTTCCAAAGCTGCGACTTGCAGATGAAGCTGACCTGACATCATATGCAGGTATGAAGCAACTCCTAGTACAGAGCTAGGAGAGTCAGAGAACTGACAATTAGGAAACACTGTCTGCTCACTTTGAAATTAATTAGAAATTTATAAAGCCCTTTACTATTCTATTTAAATAAATACTTTAAACTCAGGTGTTTACACACTTCATAGGTTAAAGAAGAACCATAAAAGCATTACAAATGATGAAATTAAATTGATCAAAAACTACATAGTGGAATTGGAGAAAAGCAAAAATGGTATTTAGAGGAAGAAAGAGAGCCTTAAAATATACATGAAAGGTTAGAAATGTTGAAACTTAAAGTAAATAATTAAAATAACCCAAGCAGTAGACTGTGTATATAAAGAAAAACGGAGGTTATTGTATCAATTAATAATGTTTCCAATAATTAAAATACTGACAGGCTTTAGTGGTGTTCAAAAGGACACTGAAGCAGTTTACTGGGGAGAAAGGAGTTTATTAGAGAAGCCATTAATGCTATGGTTATACAAAGCATGGCAGGGAGCTAGGTCTAGAGCCTGACATCATGTGGGTTCTCTGAGAGAGGAATCTTGCAACACGAGTGAGATCCCTTGTTATACCTGCCTGTGAATGGGGAGGTTTCACAGTACAGGAAGGAGGCAGAGGAGGAGGTGGGGAGCAGGATATCACTACTTACACTCCCATATTAACTTTCACTTACACTTAATACTTATACTTAATACTTACACTTCCATGTTAACTCAGTTCCCAGGGGAGACATCCTGGCACCTGGAAGTCTGTTAGCTACAGACTCAGTGTCTCCATAGAATGCTTGTGGGCATCCCTGAAAGGAGGCTGTCTCAGATAGCTTGGCTTGCACAAAGACTGGGTT